TGAGATCGACCGTCATACGAACTTCTCCAAAACCATTGGGCAAGCAGTCGTCCAAAGGGTGTATCCCGCAAAGGCTTTCTGACCATTCTTTAGCGACCCGAGTGGGCAGCATCGTTTAATATCCACCCCTAAACGAGTAGAAATTCATAAAACAAATGAAAAGGTCAAAAGGTAGATTCGCTTCGGACGGTTGCGCCAAGCAGCAAAAAGGTGAATCTCGTGAATGTCGTTGCGCTTGTTCAAGACCTCAGGCCAGGCATTCAGAAATTTCAGCAGCCGATCCCATGAACCTGGTCATAGAAGAATGGGGCATGGAGATCCATAGGTCACTGGCCCTCACCTAGACCAACTGCATGTGACTTCACATGGGTTTGTTATTTTTTGCGTTTTGGTAGGCTTTAAACAGAAACCAAGAGGAACACCAAAATCCATGTTGGCCCCTGAAAACAGAGTCTGGGGGTTTCTCAATTTAGGGGACCCCTTGGTGGATAATTCTGCGGGGAAACCAAAAGGAAACCACCTACCTGGAGTCTTCAATTTTGAGAAACAGCCATATGACTTGCTTGCTATTGGGTTGGATCTTTAGACTTTGACTTGTTGAAAGTTAATTGGCTGTGGGTCAAAAATATGTACCCAAAATGGGTTGCCCTGGTAAGTGGAAACATGGACCAAAACCTGCGGTCCAATTCCTGGTGGTTTAATTTTGACCGATACCCGTTTCTCAGGAAAAGGAGGCTGGCACTGCACTTGATTCATGGTCGTCTTTGAGCTTGATCGGAGGCCCATTCGAGCGAAGTGAAGTCTTGCTCATGGGGCCAGACTCAGACCAACCGCAAAAAAAGTCGCTGGGTTTAATTTTGGATGCCTGGTAAGTGGAAACATGGACCAAAATTCCTGCGGTCCAATCCCTGCTGGGTGGGTCGAACACATCCCAATCCAACCACTAAAATCGGTTCTAAAATGAGTGGTGAATTCACCAAAAAACCCAAAATGGGACTAGTCCCAAAACGGTTTTGACAACAGCCAAATCAATCCACGCTGGGCTCGAGTCATTCCGAGGGCCGCACCCCTAAAATGGGACTAGTCCCAAAACGGTTTTGACCATTAAAATTTCTGCGGTCCAATTCCTGCTGGGTGCGTTTAATTTTGACCCATGCCACACTTATGGTGTCTTTTTTCAGCCTGGCCTCAAGTCAATAGGCTCCAAAATGGGCGAATCCGCGCCAAAAATCCGCCGGCCCCAAATCCGCCCTTCGTCCTTCCGAGCGAGCGAGCCGCCCGCCGGCCTCGGCCCGCAGAAAGGGGATCAGCTGCTGCCGCTCTGCAAACTTCCCGGCAAAGGGCACGTTGATCCGCCTGGACGTGGCTCGGCGTGCGGCCGCGGCACGGGAGCCGAAACTTTTTTCAGCAAAGTCCCAGGGGCCCCAGGGGGCTCCTTGAAGGAAACCACCAGTTGGATGTGTTTGTTTTTGTGCTTTTAAGCATGCCATGTCTCATTCCCTGCGTCTCTCGAACCCGCAAGTTCCTGCGACCTGGCGCGATCCTGGGGCGGCGGCAGCCGGCCATCACCATCCGGCTTCACTTGGGAGAAGATGCCCTGGTCACCGGCCGAAGGCCGAAGGGAGCGGCGCGAAAAACGGTCCTGGCTTCACTGGGCTGTCCGTTGTCTGATTGCCCCTGCTAGTGACTAACTTACTTTTTGTGGGTCAAATAGAAACCAAACCGCTAAACCAAAAACAATCGCCTGTGCGCACCCCCCCCCCCCTAGATTTATTTAGGACATAGACACGTGGCACCATCCAACCGGGGCCGCCTTTTGAATCCTCGCCTCGCGAGAAATAAAATCTCAACCGCCAGGACGGGCATTTCACGCAGTCAAGGACAATGGCCACTTTTCTGGACTCAATGGCGTCAATGGCCGGCCTTCCCGGACTACTGCAAGTTGCAGTTGCTTAAAAGAAAAGAAGGAGAACCAGGCAAGCTCTTGCCACAGAACTTGCTTCTTGAAGGGGCGGAGGCAACGCAGATGTGAGAAACCAAGAGTGTCAAGCTTCGCAGGTTCTGTTCGCTAAATCTATCGTAACCAAGTTAGCAGGGCGTCTGCTTCTTTCTGACACATGTGGCTGCAGGTCAAAATCGGGTAATCCCAAAATGGGTTGCCGGGGCAAGTGGAAACATGGACTACATCCTGTGGTTTTTCGGTGGCTTAATATTGACACGTGCCCATGTAAACTTCATCTCCAGCAACTTTGGGGCCAGGCTCGAGGATCGCCATTCGGTTCCGGCTCCCGAAACTTACAGCCCGCCCTGCACCTCCTCGCGGAGACGCGACAGCATTGCCTCGTACCTTGCTGATGCTGTCTCACAATGCCAATATCTATTGGTGGGTCTTTTTCAGCGGACCCCCCCTCAAAAAAAAAACACGAACAAAATGGTACCCTGCCAAAACACGCACACCCACATGTTTGTTGCACAGGGATCGTCGTCATGCTGGGTCAAGCGGCGAAAGGCGATAAGTAGCTTAGTAAACACAGGGCAGGTCAAGACAAACAAACTGTTTAAACCAGCTTCTTTTCAGTGCCCTCGATTAACTTTTGGGTGCCGTGATCCATTTAAAATCACCTAAGGCATTTAAAGGGCACTTAGACCTTCAAGGGTTGCCCTCCCCAGCAGATCCCTCTCCAGTCTGGGCAAATCGAGCCGCAGCGATACGAGAATGCGAATGACACTCACATGGGGGGGGACTGACACTCGCATAAGTGACCTTTTCAAGGGGCAAGTGACCTCGATTCGCACCCCACTGACACTCAAATGACACGCACCCCAAAACGCAATGTTCGGGCCATTCCGGGTCGGCCCCAATCAATTGTGGCAGTTGTCACACTTCGACACGGGTAGCTGTTCGATTTCCACAGGATCCCAACCCCATCAAGCCAAACAGGGCACTTCTCCCACGAATCAAAGGGTCACTTCGGGCACCGACACCGCCTTAAGTGCCCTCGATTCAAAAACGTCGAGTGCCCTTGGTTAAAGGGCACTGAACTATGCTGGAACGTTAGATTCCACTTTGTCTCAGCATATTGCTTCTAACCCACTGGCGTGTTGGCCAATCGCAAACCAAGCGACCAGCGTCCATAGAATCCTAGTCTTTCCTTCCCGGCCCTTTTTTCACGGATGCTGTGAATGGGCTTGTGAGGTAAAGGCAGAAGTTCTGGGGGTCCACGATGAAGTCTCCACTCCAATGAGCCTCTTGCCTATGGGTTGATCACCGCTGGTTCCTTAAATTGGAGCTGCACGCACGGCTATATCCCATGGTTTTGGCAGATGGAACCCTGAACAAACCGCAGCCATGCGCCAAACGAGTGGCAGAAACAGAAAAGTGCCAAATGAGGACCTACAGTTTAGCGAGCAGCCGTCAGGCGTCAGGACGCAAGAAAAGAAACAAACGTTTGACCCGTACCTACCGGCTGGCGCGGATAACACAGCAGAGGCTGGTTTTTCTTCGCGACCCTGCGGAGGAAAATTCCGCTGGGCCCCAGGCGCGAGGGTCTGCTGCTCCTCGCTGCAGAAGCCGTAGTCAAAGCAGCTGCCCTTCGGCGCGTTGTGCCTCGAACTGGTCGACTTGGGTGGTTGGGTTTCTCTTGGAGGGTACCCCCACAAACAGGGGGGGGGTCCTGCAAACAGAAGACCTTTTATGAGGTCCAACCGATCCTGTCAAAATAGATGACCCAGATCTTGTTTGGGTGCCCCTTGGAACCACCGGTCTTGGGCGTTGGATTGATTCGTCAGAAAAAAAAAGGCAAAGGTGTTGCATGGTTTCTGTGGGCGCCTGCGCGGCTTTCCGGGGCAGCCTGCAACATGTCAGAGCAAGCCATCGGTGAAACCTTCGGCTTGTCCTTCCTGGGGACTTCCGGGGGTTGTCAGGGAATCTGCCGCATTGAAGGAAGCCATTCAACTTCCTTTTGCTTTTTCGCCCCCCGGAAAAAAGAAAGAAGAAAAACGAGCACATATTTCCAGTCATACATTCGCTTCAAAACCAACAGGAGAAAATAGCAAACAATCTTAAGCAAATGGACGACTCCCTGCAGAGTCAGCAGGTTGATGCCCACTCCCCGAACCCAGAGCCGGAATGTCAGAGCAGACTCCCCTTTCCTCCAACTCCTTCGGCCCCCAGGTGCAAGCGAGCAACTGGGCTGAGGGCGCAGTCTGAGTGTTGGATGGCCAACCAGCAGATGTGTTCGACCATGGCGCATACCTTGAATCGGATTGCTCGCTCCAAATCCTGAGGGCATCTTTGGTACCCATCCCGGTCCACAAGTCAACGTCAGCAACTCCGGCAAATCAATGAGCCGCATGCAAAAACCTCGGCGAAAACCACTGCCAGGTGACCCATATGCAGAGTTCCAATGCGCCTGAAAGGCGAGCCCCGTGCTCGGGCATGCTGAGTGACTGCCGTACCAAAATGAGGGCTGGCAAACGCGCCTGACTGTGGCCATGGCTGTAAGGAACCGCTGGCTGCATCTCTGGTTGCAGGAGCTTTTAAGCGAAGGCCGTTCCATTCTGCATTCACGTGCGCAGATTGACCTGACGCCGCATATTATCTGCATGTGTTGGGCTGTCCCGCACTGCATTGCGTTATGGCTTGGAATGCATAATGAGTGCCCCATTTTTCTGCCCATCATAACAGGCAGCTTGAGGCAAAACCAGGCCAGCGAGCTTGCTCTGACCCGGAACCAGCTCCAAAAGAAGGCATTTCGTCACTATCGCCTGAAGAAAGTGCTGCACTGAGTTGTGAGGCGGCTTCCCATCCTACAAAAGAAACCTGCAACCAATTCCAAGCCAAATGCGAAACAAATACACAGATCGAAACAAAAGGAGGTTGACCCAAAACTTTTGGCTCAACCTCTCTTCGGGTGTGACAGGTCACTTCAGGTCCTAACCCCGAGGAAAGCATCGCATCGCCCGCTTGGGGCAGAATCCGCATCGCTGGGCTCGCGGGCGTCGGCTGGATCCAGGGCGTAGGTCTCGCTGGTGACGAAGCCCTCAGCGTGGCACATCCCCTGTGCACCCTGCGTGGCTCTTTCCGTGGGTCCTGGTTTGGACCGCAGTGTTCCATGTTCATTGGTGGGAGGGCGAACAAAAAGGAGCGTTCAGCGTTCAGGCAAGAGCGCTTTTGTAGTAAAGTTACAAAGGTTCCTGGCCCATTTTTTGCCCTGAAGGGATGTGGGTGCGTCTGTTTTTCAAATACAATACTGCCCGCAAATGAGCGCTTTCCTTTCATGGTTGGACAGGAGGGTGGAGATAGGAGGGTAGGTACCCTCCCGCCAATCGACATGGAACCCTTTTCGACAAAACGGGGGGGGGGGTCCTGGTTTGGCTGCCATTGTCCTGTCAAAGGCTTCCATGCTCATCGGTGGGGCCAGCCATCCGATCCATGAAACATATGGCCACGGGTCAAAATTGTGTACCCAAAATGGAATCCTGGTAAATGGAAACATGGACTAAAACCTGCGGTCCAATTCCTGGTGGTTTAACTTTGACCCATACCCATATGGCCATGGGTCGAAAACATCCCAATCCCCACTAAAATGGATTCTAAAATGGGTGGTGCACCTCTACCCCCAAAATGGGATCCCATTGGTTTTGACCCACAGCCATATCGCAAAACCCACATCCCAAGGACCATCTGTGAATGTGTGTTTTTTCAGCCTGGCCTCAAGCCTTTGCAGCAAGCTGCCCAGGCGGAGTCTATCCTGACGCAGACCGGCAGACCTTCCAAAGCAGACCCACCATCCTTTCCGATCATCCAAAATCCATCTTGGGTGCTGTAGATCCTCCAGCAAACAGTTTAACTTTTTGCTGGTTAAAAGGAAATACAAGGGAAATCCAAAAAGTTAAAGTCTAAAGATCCAACCCAACAGCAGAAGACCCATATCATAAAATATCAGTTTCCTTTGCACACTACCCAAGACAGGCAAGTATCGCAAGTTGCCGGTCAGATCTGGAAAATTCCGTGCCTCCAGGTGCAAGCCAGTCTTTGGCCTTAGCAGGCCCCAGCGAAAGTGGCTGACACATGGGGGCTTTTTCTCTGGAAGGGATTCATTTTTTTCAGGAAAAAACATCCGTCCATCTGCCAGAGAGGACTAATCCATCATCTTTCGTCTCGAAATGGCGGATCCCTTCAAGAAACACCTCGTGCTTTCCTTTCAAAAGCCAAACGGTTCCTAAACTTTGAACAAGCCTCAATTTTCCTCCCGCCGAGAAAAGAAGGGCTGCCGACCACACACAACTGTTATCTCCTTGAGCCGATGTCAAGATCCGTTGCAAAGCCAGGGTCTATCTATGTCTATCCTCTCTCTCCTCCACGCTCTGTCGTTCTCTAGTGGCATGTGGGCGTGGCGGAAAATTGCAAAGCTAGGCAAACTGCAGGTTTTCGTCTTTGGCTCCATTTGGCAACCCATTTTGGTCTCCATGTTGTTGAGGCACAGCCATGAACCAGCCAGTTTAATAATATGGGGGTGCTTCTCCCCAATTGAGATGTGGGGAATCAGACCACGGCCATGGGGCTTTATTGATTTCAACCAAAGGGGCGAAAGGTGCCGCCTCAGCATCTGAGGCGCAGGGCTGCAAGGCTTCCTGCGAGCGATCAAGCGAGCCTTTGGCCAATTGGGCGACCTCAAATGCCCCGTGGCCATGGGAAAAATGGGGCATCCTTTTCTTTTGGTTGGATGGGGTGGAATCCTTCACAAAAAGAAGGCCCTTCACAGCGCCACTGGGCAACTGGGAGACCAAAGAAAGACCAAACACCATGCCTGAGTGTCGAAAGGAGGGACTGCTCCAGCTGAAAACGACTTCTTTTTGGTGTCCCGCTTTCACTTTCGGGCCGTGTCTAGCTGGACCTAGCATGACCTAACAGGCTGGACGTGTCAAACAAATCAAAGCCAAGCGGCGAGGATGCGGCAATACACAGTGGTGAAACCAGGCGAGGCTCGGGGCCCCCTTCGCTCGGCACAGGTCCCTTTCCCCGCGGTCATGTGAGTCGTGCAGCAGCGCCGCCGCAAAGTCGTCGAAGACCAGGTGGTCGCCGCCGGTGAAGGGCTTCTGACCATGCGAGTTTCACTCACAACCGCGAGATGTCACAGGTCGGGGCATCTATGTTGCAACGGCATCTAAGGTCAAAGCTAAAGCTTGGCAGCAGGGCTTGCACACATGCACTCATCTGGCTGGCCTGCCCCTTCGGCGGATCTTCCAGCAAGCGAAGCAAGCCCTGCAAGGCCCAAAACACACTCTGCTGCCGGCAGTTCTCTCTCGGGCCACTTACTTGCCTTGCAGCTCGAATTCCTTCATCTATAAGCTGCGATGGCATGAGCGCAACGTGTGCACAGCGGGAAGGGGTGACTGCTCTGAACTAGCATTTCTGAAATTGGCTGTCACTTGCTCAATAAGCGGTTTGGTTGCCAGCTTCGCCATGTCATCCTCGCCTGCATGTAGGGCTTGCCGCCGACAAACTCCTTGCGCATGTTGATCAGCATCTGGGTAAATGCCTTCGGCAATGCTGGTGTGTCCATTTCGCGTGGGCAGCACAGACCGGACCCCGGCCAAATCATTTCCACCAACCAATCAAAAAACTCGCATCGACCTTTGTTTTCCTCAACGGATACATTCAAAAGCACCAAACACCCCCCAAAAAACACGCATTCACCTTCGTTTTCCTTGCTGGGTACATCCAAAAGCCACTTGTCACAGGGAGTGGCTCAAGGCCGGGCGCCCTCCGCGCCTCCGCCGCGATCCACCACCGGCGCCGAAGGCGCACAGACCAGGGCACGGAGGCTGCGAGGGCTGAAGCTAAGACGCGTGATGTGGGTATCAGCAAGGCATATACGTGCAAACACACACACACACACACCCAGGTGCATATATATATATATAGATATATATATAGATAGAAGTATGTATATACATATATGTATATGTCTGCAAAAATATGTGTGTGCGTCTGCATTTTAATAAATACACACACACACACACATATATATATATATATATACGCCTGTGTGTATGTACAGATACGATCCAAGCAGGCGCAATCACAAACGCCTCAAACACTGATGGCCAGCGCATGTGTCCTTCACTCACAGGGGCTAATGACGGACAAAACGTGTTTTTGCTTCCTTCAAATAGCCCAGCGGGGCCTAATCAATTCTGCGCATTGAGGGCGTCCATTATAAGCCGGAATTCCCGCATTTTCACCGAGGTGTTACAGGGGCAAATATGATGACAAACACGCTTCACACACACAAACACTAACACTAGCCCGATGACCAGAACTCTCCCATCAAGTGCACTTGCTCAGCGATGTACACATCCATGAATGACAAGAACTTCTTTCAAGCGCACCTGCCCAGCACTGCACACACACACACACACCTTCCACATGAGAAGAACCCCAGCTCAGTTGCGCCCACGCACGCCTGACAAAACGACAAAACACCCCGCTCCAGTGCACTCGCGCGGACTGCGCGTATGCCTCCCGAATGACAACAATCCCCCGCCCACGGGCGCTTGCGTGCTGCACGCACGCGTGCCAAACGACAAGATCCCCCTCCATTGATGCGTCGACCAGACATGGACACGGATCAAGAAGTTTGTCCTTGCGCAGCTGGCGGGGGAAGATGGCGGAGGCATCAACATGCGCCTGTGACAGTGGTTGAACTGTAGGCATACTCATTCAAAAGGAAACACGGCCACGTCTCCTGGCAGGGCTTCGAAGAGAGCCCGTTTTGGCGGAATACGCATGTGGGCTCGTTTTCCCACCAGTTGAGCTCGCCATAAGCTTAGGCATTATATATTTGTTTATGTATATGTATGTCTCTCTCTATATATATATATATGCATTTGTTTGCTGCTTTCATGATCGCTGTTGGAATGGATACACGCCGTAGGCAATGTCTAAACATACGTTACATTGTATGCGCGTATACGGGCCCTTTGACCCTTTGATGGACATCGCTTGCGCGGGGAGGGTTCTGCCCGCCAACAATGCTTAGGGGCGTGCACCTTGAACAAATCTAGCCATTTGATCTCAGCAAAGGTGGCAAACTCTACAGTCTGCAAAACGGCAGCCGTGGCGCATGATCCAATGGAAACAAACGACAACCATTGCAAACCCCCCCCCCCCCTGCCCCCCAAAAAAACCCTACTCTGGGGTAGTGGTGGAAACTTGCCTGGCTGTAGGCATCCATCACCTCCAGGCTTCCTGGCAAAGCAAAATTCTTTCGCTGGGCCCCTGGCAGCCTGTTGCAGGCCTTTCTCGATCTGTCTCCTGGCAGCAATGAGCAAAACAATTCCAAGGTTGGCGCAAATCATGCGTGCCCATGGTCGAACTGCTTCTGCCTTGCTCATGGAGTCAGGGCGCTGCAAAAGTCTACAATTTCCAATTCAGTCTGCGACTCTATGATAATCTGCAACTTTAGGGAACCAAAATCTGAGTCTGCAACTCTAGGGTAATCTAGAATTCTCGGACTATGTCAAAAACCTCACTTAACAAATCCCCAAGTAAAGGACCCTACAGGTGAGCCGGTGAGCCCTGCCTCACGTGTCCGTGCCAAGGCAGCGCGCTGCACCTATGCCGTGCTCGGTTCAGCACAGCTCCGACTCGGCGTCGCTCGTTGCTTGGTGCTTTGGATTGGTTTCTAGGTCCTCCAGCAGAGAGGTTGGAACAAGGGTACCCGATTTTTTTCTGCAGTCTGTTTTAGAGGGGAGCCCTCCCCCCAAAAAGAGTGAAAGGGCACTATTGGGGGACCTAGGTTGGTGGTTGGGAGATGAGGTCAACCATTTACCCTAAAGCACCAATCCAAACCACCAACTAAGGGCTACCTGGCCAATGATGTAAAACAACAACGCTCCTTCTCGGCGATTCAGACTGGTGTCCCCCCATCTGCCTGACATGTTCCTACAGGGTGGTGGATGTTGTTTCGGTCCGCAGGGAACTGAGTCACTTCTTCTGCACGGAACGGACGCTGACAGGGAACAAGGCCGGAGGCTCACTTCGTTTGTAGAAAGGGTAGCCAAGCAAAGCCCTGCCGGGAATCCGAGCCTCTTTCCGGACCAGCGCCTGCACAAGGCTAGCAAGACAAACTGGAGGGGGGGGGCACCCTTCGCTCAACTTTTACTCGCTTTGGTTCCCGCAAACATGGATAGAGAGGCCCCTTGTGACTGGTGGAAAGGAAGCCTGTGCACTTCCTTGATCGTTTGCGGGAGGGTGCATGTTCGCCAGGACGACTACCTCACAACGGCCAAGCCAAAGCTGCACCACTTCAGTACTGACCACGGATTTCCCCAAACCACTCCTGATGATACACATAGCCTACACCAAGAGTTTGATGCGAACACAAATCACCAGCACCAGCCTTTCTGTCTGCTCTACATTCAGCCGGCTGGGCCAGCCCATGGCATCTACAAAAACACTACCTGGGCTTACGGAACTTAACATCTAGAGAGTCTTCGGCTTGTGAAACCTTCGTTCTCACAATGAGCCGCTCGAACGCCCTCGCTTTAGTCTGCGAAAATGCCACCTCTTGCTGGCAGCAACGTGTAATCCACTCCCTGCAGAATATGGCAGCCATCAGCTTTGCACATCTAACGCCTGGTGGTCAAGATCGTCGAAGTCGACAAGGCATGCCGAAGTGTCCTAAGCACGCCAACATGGACTCCAGCACGCAGCACGGGCTGTTTTCGCATCCGCCTTAACACTTACTTGGGCATGAATTTTCAATAGGGACCCTCTGGTGGACATCATTTAGGTGGGTTTTGTAATGTCCACCAACCACTTTCCAGGGGGTTCCTTATTTAAATTCATGGCCACTTCCACTTGGCCCCGGTGGAGGGGTAACGCTTGAAACCGTAGCCTGTCCAAAAGGAATCGCAGCACCTTCACCTCTACCGGGCGCCCGGCTGGATAGCCAGCTGCTGGCATCAGTCGCCCAACCGGATGTGTTTTGCGCTCGATCACTTGGTTCCAGGGGTGCTTGTACATACCCCTTTTACATTCCTCTTGGGCAAATCAAAAGGCCTGCTGATGTTCATAGCCCTCCCCCCAAAAGGATCAAAAGGGGTATATACCCCTTTTGAAGTGGGTTGGAAACCACGGAAGCCAAGGGGTATGAACAAGGGGTATGTTCCTCCACCCTTAGATTGATACTCACACTGTGACGGAAACGCTCCCTAGCTGATGTCCGAAGCAAGCTGACAGGATTTGCTTTGCGCATCTTAGACCCTGGGGATGCACACGTAAAACTGCTTGCTTGATCCTGGCGATGTTCGTTGCTGCTCAAGAATGCGTGGCGCGGGTGCAGTGATTCATGCCAGACGCCGATCGCGGCTGATACGATAGCGGCTGCAAGAGGGATGTGGAACCAGATTCTCGCCTTGGCACACTTGAGGTGAGCCAAGGCCCAACAAGAATGTCCAGGTCAGGTGAACTCACCTGCGATACAGATTTGCTCAATCTGCAAAGCTCATGAACCGCCACGCTTCCCAAAGTTGATATCCCCAAAAAATGCTTGGAACCAAGGATCGCCCATGCACTGAAACGAACTGAAGACATGTCTCCCGCAGGCAGCGCAAGGCTCATGGGTCCATGGGTCAAACACGAGCAGGACACTTCTTTAACACATTGGCATCAGGCCGCGCAGGCAGCCTGAGTGGCTGAAACAAGCTGCATCCCAGATTGCCATAAAACCCAAAACCCGCATTGGCAATGCCCCCCCTTGACCCTTCCAGGCTTGGATCGGACAGATCAATCCCTCCCCAAAGCCTTGAGGAACCATCTATCACGGAACCTGACTCGTTTCGGCCTCCCTGGAAGACCGCTTTTTTGGAGCTTTAAAGGCCCCCGCCCCCCCACTCCTCAAACTGCCACTCTCCCAAAGAAATATCTCTGATGATCTCTGGTGCTCTCGTTCCAAGTGGCACCCTCCCACCAATTGACATGAAACCAATTCTACGTTCGGGACCCGGTTCCTCTAAAAAAATACCAGGTCTTCCAGGACTCCCGCACGTCGAACGGCTCCATGGCAATTGGTGGGACGGTGTATCTCCTTTTGGCACGGAAGGCCTTCCTGGCTGACATTGGAAGGGGAGCAACAATTTAAGCTTTAGCAGTTAAGTAGTTGGAGTTCAACTTTCAACCACTAAAACCACAATAAGATGTAAAATGAAGAAAAGTACATAGCTTTCCCACTAAAAATGCAAAATGTTTCCCAACAACCGTGGTCTGCCGCCAAACCTCCTGAGGCTCCTGCCGCCAACAGGAGCTCTGAGCGGATTGCGCTGGCCTGGGGATTTGAAGTGGAA